ATTTTTGCCTATAGCCTAAGGTCTGTTATTTCAAAATGTATTTATTAAATAAAACATTATCTAAAGAACATGTACACTGTTTATAATGCATTTAAATAAATCAAACTTTCAATATGGTTTTTTTTTTATTTATTTAAATATAAATGTATTTAGAATCTGTTATATAAATATGGCTTATAGATTATAAATGTAATACAGATGAAAAAATACGTATCAAGAAAATAATATATATAATAACTCAATAATCCAACCACAAAATTTCTCTTATTTTCCTAAAAGGAATAATTTAATTCTAATATGTTACAATTACTAATTTATTTAGAATGAAATTCAATAATTCAATAAAATAAAAAAAAAAATAAAAATATTATGTAATATCTACATAGAAATTTCATTTCACAGATTTAATTTTTATCCTTTATAATCTTGTCTTAATGAAATGTCACACTTTATACCCTTTTTTGTTATAAAACGTTTAATATGAAATATTTTTATGGATAATAGTTGACTGCGTGTGACTCAAGAATACAGATGTACCTATGTGAAATATGTTATGTAGCGTAAAGTGATGATAACTATTTTTATAATGCTAATTGTCTGAAATTTCAATAAAAAATAAAATAATTTATGATAAAAATAGTTTAAAAGTGTATTATAGATTACTATTTAAAAATTAGTATAAATAATATCCAATACAATAATTAGTAAATATAAACATGATTGATTCTTTTTCAGTAGTTAAATGCCAATACAATTTTAACTATGCCTTTCAAGGACACAAAGCGCCGACCTCAAATGTTCAAGTTCGTTACTCTCCAGCCCTCGAAGTAAACAATAATTATGTGGAGGGAGTAGCTTGTGAGTGGGCGTTTAAACGGGGGCTAGTACTAGTCAGACGCACAGCCTTCAGTTAAGTACGACAGCTCAGCTCGGTCCGTCCTCAGCGCTTSGATAATCTAAAAATAGTCACATTTTTCTGGTTTCTACCTTAAGTGCGATTTCAAAGTGATACTGAAAAAAATAAGTTCGTTTTAAATAGTGCAGACATGTCTTCATCTAAGACAACCAAGTCATACAGTTACCGATCTGTAGGAGGCGGAAATGCTGACATAAATATTGACTATTCTCACGACCTAAGCGCTTTATCTCGACTTGAAGTAAGTGAAATTTAAAAAATGTATATACTAAACTATTATAGAGTTATGAAATATCCAATCACAATTTTCCAAAATCAAAAATCACCATGTTTAGGTACCATAAAAATAGAATMCATCACATTTTCCAGGTATATATTAATCATCTTCAGCTGCCAGAAGAAGAACGAATGTTGTACATATTGGTCAATTGAGACTATTAAATGTTTTATTCACAGATTTGAGAAACGCGGAATAGAGATTAATAGCTTTTTAGAGGTAGGTGGAGAGAGGTTTCTTCTTCTTGACAGTCTGAAGGAAGCACGGTGTGACGCCGCCCACCCTCCTAAGCCCTTACAATATAATAAACAATTAAATATACTGAATGTTTTGATTTGATTAACCAAATCCTGCGTTTGTTTTTCCCTTTAGGATAAGATCAGACTTCTGCAAGAAGACTTAGAATCGGAACGCGAACTCCGACAACGCGTAAGTACATATTTTGACATCAACAGAACAGTGTAATTTGCTATTTAACCATCGCAAAGACATTACTTTAATGTTTGTTATCAATCAGATTATGTTAAATTACAGTTTGTAATACTTAAATTAAAGATAATATTTTTTTGTAT